TTATCTTAGTAAGATAACCAGGTATTAGTGATTTTGTTACTGACGAATTTTTTGTTATTTTGTGTAAAAGGATTTACGGAAAGAGTTCGGTTCCTGTTTTGCAATTCTAAGAATATCAAGATAAAATTTTTCATTAAAGTTTGGTAATTGTAAGTCTGAAATAGGTAAAATTGATGAGTGTATTCTTTTTTCTAAAATAGTTTTAGAAGCTTTAAACTCAGCATCCAACATTTCATCAGTTAAGTAGTTATTATTTAGAAAAAGATATTTAATATCTTCTTTGATAATTTTATTTAAATAAATCATTAATTATTTTTTAAACTCTTTATTTTTAAGACAATTCCGCAGTTCGATAGGATTTAAGACACCTTGAAGCCAAATTAACATATGACAATGAGGTGTACCATAGTCTTGATATTTTATAACTCCATAATAATTTTTTATTTTACCTAATACACCACCTTCTGGGTTTTTATAACTGAGAATAAACTTAATTATTTTATTTATCATGACATTAAAATACTTTGCTATCACAGTTAGATCAAGGTGCCAATCTAGCTCTTTCTGTTGTGATTGAAAAATTCTCAGAAAACAAAGTATTAATATTAATCATCTTTTCTGCATACATCATTACAATTGAGCTATGTAGATCAGCAGGATTTATAATTACAAATAATAATAGAGCACTATTCCATATTATAACAACATGAATTTTATTACAGAGAAAGTTTTGTGATTGGTGTAAGCCTATAATTTTTCTACCAACAATGTTCATATTTTTTAACAATTCTAATACAGCTTTGTTTGTTATTAGTTGCTTATTTTGCTCTTGTTCTATTACAAATTTTATATCATTTATTGTAAGTTTGAATATTAATTTAGCTGATTGTTCAAAGTTTACTCACTTTGTTATTAAGTATATATCTGATGCAACTTCTCTTCTTCATAGCATATCAAATGCAATAAAAATAAATGAACAATGATATCTAAATCTAGGATCACAAAGACATAATAAGTGCTCAACATATTGCTTAAATGGTACATATTGCTTGTAAAAATTATCTTCATGACCACCAACTCCATAAGGAAACAATGTAGGAAATGCAGCAGGCAAAAGCATCGGATCCATATATTTATTTTTAGGTATATTTGAATGTGGCATTAAAATTGTATTAGAACATTCTTGTTTATTATTAGTTGATTCCTAAACTATTTTTTCCATTAATTTTAAAGAATGCACTTGTTCTGATATGAGAGTATCTGTATAACTCATATCTGAATTTCTTAATTCAGTTATACCATTAATACAATTAAATAAATTAGGTCTATTTTCTTTGTTATTTGATTCTTTACTATTTACACTATCTGTACCATCATCTGTGTCTATTCTATCAACTAGATCTACTGTATATCCAGTATAATGTTCTATTTTTTTAGGATCAATATCAGCCATTACAGTTGTCACTAAAAGAGTAGATGGTATTTTATTCTCTGGTAAAGATTCTAGCATTGCTCTATCAAGTCTAATATCTTTATAAAGAATGTTATAATTCATTAACCATTCTAAAACAGTTTCGATTTTATTTTTTCTTACATGCAATATTTTTTTTAATTAGTTTTCTGATAGCTATTTTTGTTCAATAAATACAACTTTTAGATAATTACATAATCAATATGCAAGTAAAGATAAGATAGTAGAAAGTGAAATTGGTTCTTATGCAAATATAATTATATAACCTTTTAGTTTATAATATGTATATTTCTGATTAATAAGTTGAATTATGTTTACATAAATATAACTCTTAGATATTAAGAGTTGTTCTGATATTGTTAATCCTTAAAGACACAATAAAGATTTTCCAATCCACATATTTGTTAATGAAAATATTGAAGTACTGTCTACATTTATCGATCATTTACAATTATCGCATATACGAAGATCAAACGGGTTTTTAGCATTATTATTGTTTCTTTTGACAAATCCATTTCTATCTAACAAGACTTTATAACTACTTCTGTTGATGTAAGGATGTTTATATGCAAAATTAATTTCAAAAGCTGGGTTTTCCAAATTCACATTAGCTTCAAGTGATAGTAAGTGTATTTCTTATGTATTAATAATAATCAAGTACTTGCATGAAAATAGACCAGAACAAATTACACAAGACAATTCTTCAAATGTTTTACAGTCCATATTTTCCCAGAATCTTGCTATTGCTTTATTTGCAACAGCCTTATTAATCGGTTGTAACCAGTTTGCATACCATTCTTTTGTTATATTGAATTTATTGTCTATTTCTAAAATACACAATGGAACATGAGCTTCAGCTGTCCGAATATCTTTTTCATGTAAATTTTTTACCTTTTTTCATGATGAATTTCACACCATTTATGTTGTTGTTCTCTTTCACACTAATGATATATCACATTCGCTCACCTATTAGCTTTTTGTTGTTTATGCTTTGACCTATAATTGTCAGAATTCAATGAACTATCTTTAAATATTAAAAATTAGTTCATTCTCATCTGATCAATTCAAATTTCAAAACCATATTTACATTATTAAGCATCAATCAATTTGTTTATTCAAGTTTCATCACTAAATTAAAAAAAAAAGTTCTCTAATCAATTGTATAATTTGTTATAGTTTAATGAACAATATTGCAAAATTGTTCATTAATTACATTGTCATTATAGTCTTTAACATCTGTACACGTGATAGCAAGAATTAAAGAAAGATTAATCTTAACGTCCTAATATAGAGTCAACGCTAGTTTATCAGTATTTTATTCAGAACAAAAGTGCAAGAAAAATCGGGTTTTTTTTGAATTTTTTCTCTCGCTGCTTATATATTCCATATTAATTACATCAATTACATCACACAATATTTAATTTTCTCTGACGCTCGCTGATCTCACATTCTTCACGCATGTTAATTATTAGCCAATAATCTTACCAAAATTACTATCATTACGTATTATTACATCAAAATCTAGGAAATGTAGTCATAATAATTTCATACGATAGCATAGGTTTTATGCCTAAACAACGAACATATCATGTTCGCACGCACTCACGTGGACACTTAACATGCGCACTTACATCATCACGTCACAGGCATATATATTTTGCAGAACATCATAACGTTAATAATAACGATAAAATAAGCAAAGCTCTTTCCTAAAATAAACAAATGAAAGTCATAACTATTGCTAAAAAAAGGATTCCACAAAATCTGGTTAAGCGACATCAAAAAAGTTGAATGAAACCATCCCTACACATTTCATGTTACACAAGAAACGTGATCGTACTGGTATACGGGTAATGCTAGTGGAATATATGGTGTTGGCTATTGCTATCAAAATGGGATTGGAATTAAAAAAAATGAACATAAGGCATTCATTTATTATCAAAAAGCTGCTGATATGAGTAATTCTGATGCAATATTTCAACTTGGATATTGTTTTTTATATGGAATTGGAGTTGAGATTAACAATCATAAAGCATTTAATTATTTTCGACAATCTGCTAATATGGGAAATGTTATCGGAATGAACTTTCTCGGGTATTGCTGTCGAAATGGAATTGGAACCATAAGAGATTTAAACAAAGCTAATTTATGGTATCAAAAGTAATATGATTTTATTTTTAAATATAACAAAAAATTTTGTGTCAATTCTGTCAATCCTTTGTTTCGTACGTATTTGTCAAGAATTCAATATAACTTCTCCAGTATTGTTACCAAAATTTTACGCTCACGTGAATATGTGAACAATCGATAAAAATTTTTGAAGTTCATTACGTTAGGTATGCGACCGTATTAGGGTTAGAAGCTTTTGAAAAACAAATAATTCTTTCGTTTCCTCGATCATATCACGTTGCATTGAATTATGATTCTATTGGATGATTTCTGGTTACTGTAGATTTTCACGTGAGCGTGAAACTATTAATGCCGATTTTTATTTTAGAGAAAGCTACAGACACAACATTTCAGATGCTCATGCGCGCAACAATGACCAAAATTAGCGTTAGAGTTAAGGTTTGGGGGTGCTTATACGCACAACAATGGCTGGATTTACCACATGAGTGCTGTTTCCGTAGTAGACCGAAACTATATATAAAATCCCGAAATCCGAAATCTTTTCCGAAACTCTAATACAATGAAAGGCTTAGAGATTTAATTTTAGACTTTAAGACATAAAGTAAATGATATTCAGAAATGTTTTGGTTACTTTATAGTAAATGTGTATCAGTTATTAAACATTCTAATTTTAAGATTTCGGGAAGGTTTCGGGTCACAACTCTAGTCCGTAGCTTTCCTCATTGTTTTGAGTCGTGAAATCACGTATCGAAATATCTGGCACAGAATTTTTTAATGTATTCATACTAGTGTTGGCAGGCGAAACCTAAGAGTTTCGCCAAAAAAAAATCGAAAAGGCGAAATGGCGAAACTGGCGAAAGGTGGCGAAACTGCAAAACTGGCGAAACTGCTAATAGGTGGCAAAATTGGAAAAAGGTAGTAAAATTAGTAAAAAATGGTAAAACTAGCAAGGATAGAAAGGTAATTGAAGAAAATTAAGTTTTTTATATAATCATCAATAATTTTATTTATATATATAATTTATCACGCATCAATTTGATTGGCTAATTTTGTCGATCATCGTTATACGAATTTAATAAAAAACTAACTAAAATTTCAAACTTTTTTGAATTTTTACTAATAATATTATAAAAATAGACGTCTCAGTCTTTTCAGAAGTCTTAGAGGATTTGATCTTCGTCAAGTTTTGACTTTCTCTAGGGGTTCAACTTTAGCAGGAGCTTCGCCAGAGTTTCGACGTTTCGCCAGAGTTTTGCCGTTTCGCCAGAGTTTCGCCAGGTTTCGTCTTTCGCCGGGTTTAGTTTCGTCTTTCGCCATTTGTCAAAAATAGTTTCGCCTGCCGACACTAATTCATACACAATTAAATTATTTACAATGTACACATTTAATATTAGAGGAAAAATTAGGCCACTAGGTAAATTATTCTTAACTTTTTTTATTCTCAAATTTAAAATTAATAAACTTTTCAACTGCAGACGAAATGCTATACGTAGATGAAATTCTTGATAATTTTAAAAAAACTTGTGATGAGAATAAGATTAATTTGTCGTGGATTCGGTATAGTGAGTTCAAAGAAATCGAAGAGATAGGGCAAGGAGGATTTGCAACAGTATATAAAGCTGTATGGTTAGATCAAAGTTATAAACATTATACAAATGTGGCACTTAAGTTATTTCATGGATCAAAATATTTTTACGAAGAAGTAATTTAAATTTACTTTAAAATAACTTTACCTTAAATTAAAATTTTAATATTTACGTTTTTTAATTTTACAGGTAAAAGCTTATAATAGCATTAGTTGCGAAAATCCTTCATTTTTACATTGTTATGGGATATCAAAAGATTATTCCGAAAGTTATATTCTTGTTTTGAAACTTGCAAGTTTAGGATCTTTGCGTGAAAATCTTTATAATATGTCTGAAATTAAATGGAAAGATAAGTTAAATTTACTGCATTGCATTGCTACTGATATTCAAATAATTCATTCCCAAAAAATAATTCACCGAGATTTACACAGTGGCAATATCTTGCAAGACACTTTACATAGTGCATATATTGCTGATTTAGGGCTTTCCATTTCATCTGATATAACATTAGAGAAAAGATCAGTTGGATGTTATGGAATTTTACCATACTTAGCTCCAGAAGTTTTAATAGAAGGACTATATACAACATCATCGGACATTTATTCATTTGGTATAATTATGTGGGAAATTTTATACGGAAGATCAATTGCTTACGGTCAAAAAATTGGACCAGAACTTCAGATAAAAATATGTTATGAAAACTTAAGGCCTGAAGTTTTAGAAAATTCACCGCCATCTTATGTAAATTTAATGAAGCAATGTTGGGAAAAAGAATTAGACAAGCGGCCATCAGCAGAAAAACTCTGCAAAATTTTTACAAAATGGCAAAATGATAAAAAGATTATATCTGAGCTATCTAAATCTAAAAACAAAATTAAAAGTGATCATCTACAAGCATATCCAAAAACAGATTATAGAAGTAAACTTATTCCTTATACTTCAATTTATCAAGGTCAATAATTTATATATTTATTTATAAAATATTGCAATTTATTAATTTTATTTATAAAAGATTGCAATTTATTAATGTTATTTATAAAAGATTGCAATTTATTAATGTTATTTACTATACTTATAGACAGCGGGCTAAGTAAACTGGCGGTTCCGATGGACTGGTCCACTTAAAGTCAATTAAATCCCGAATCTATGATATTTACTATGAGGGTTCTTTCACACACATAAGATCGAATATTATTGACCAATTTACAGTTGCATATCAAATGTAGCTTATTTATAATCTATTGGAATAGACTTAATAAAAATTTTTTATTTTAATTCGTATTTTAATATGATTGGGAAGTTTGTTTTTACTAATTAAATGTTTAAAACTATGCTAAAATTTTAACTTGGCAGATAGAAACGACTAGTTGCATGTAGAGATGCGAAATGGCTAAACAGCTCAGCTAATAGCTCTTACGTTACACAAGCCGAACCATTTGTAGCCAAACTATTTTTTAGCCGAACCGATTTGGAGCTAGCTGAATAAACTACGACTAAGCCGTAGTTAACTATTAATTTTTTTTTCAATTAAAATAACTATATATGCAAATGTTTATTTATTACATAGATGTAGAGCAAAAATTTATTTATACAGAAGTTACAAAGTAAATGTCAAATATGTAACAAATTTTTAATGTTTAATAAATTTTGCGACATAAAGCATTTCTATATTGTATAATGTAGTTTTTAAATTTATTTCTGAAATGTAATACCATGCTTCAGCCATGAACCATTACACATAAGTGCTTGTACACTCTTTTCAGAGAGACGCGCATGTCTTGCCCGAACAGTATCACCTGCCTTTGAAAATATTTGTTCAGAAGGCACTGAAGTTGCCTGAATGGTAAGAAAATCCTTAGCCATTCAGGACATACCAGGAAAACGAAGGCTATTAAGTTTTCACCATTCTAAAGGATTAAGATTCATAGATAATGTAGCTTCGTTTAAATACTGTGTAAACTCATCCATTGTATTTGTTAAAACATTAAATCATCATCATTTTTCAGCAACTTGTTCCACATATATAGTAGAACTTGACATATTTTCAATAGTAGATCGATTACCTAATATTGAATATTCAGTTTGAAGAATGTAATTAAAAAAGTCCTGGTTTTCTTGAATATTCAAGTCAACTGGCATTAACTTCAATTTAATGTGAGGATCGAGAACAGAAGCAATAAAAGCAGCCTCATCAATAATATAATCCAAATATTTTTTAATTTTTTCTAACATATGAGTTGCTGCAACTTTAAGAAATGTAAGGTTCATTGAATCCTGAATGCATGATGAAATTACATCAATAAGATTATCTATTAATAAAATAGAAAGACCCAACGTTACATAAGTGCTACCCGAAAGTGTATTTGTAGTTTCATAAAATGGTTTTAAAAATGAAGTTATAACATAAAGATCAAAATCTTCTTGTTATATAAGTTTGTACTAGACAAGATTATCATGATGCCTTATAACTGCTGCAATTGTTGTAGGTATGGATATATAAACAGAAAGCATTTGGTATGTACTATTCCACCAATTCGATACATCTTGAGGAATCTTATGAATAGTTTCACCTTCACCAACAGACTGACCAAATCCTTAAAATCTTGTGTAATCATAGATGATGATATAATTATATTAACAAATCTGTACACTTTATTAATTGACTCTTTAATTGATGTTAGTCCCATAATAACTACAAGATGCAAAATATGTGCAAGACAATGACATGTATGAAAATGTAAATTATGCATTAAGAAATATGAACTAAGTAAACGAGTTACTAGTATTATGTTAGAACTATTGTCTGTTGTAACACCAAATAACTTCATAGATATATTGTAAGTTTTTAAAATAGCTTGTAATTGTGTTTTAATATCCTCCCCAGTATGTGGATATGGAAGCATACAAATATCAATTAAAATCTTTTGAAGATTCCAATTACTATCGATCCAATGCACAGTTACACCAAGAAAAGGCATATTTGTGCGTGATGTCCAAATGTCCAATGTAATTGAAATTCTGCTAGAAATTTGCTCAAAAATTCTCTAAACATCTTTTTGCATCAAAATAAAAAAATTTTACACAATTAATTTTATGGTATCATGTAAAGATAACTCAATGCATGCATTAATATATTGTAGCAAAGCAATTAATGCTTTACTACTAATGGCTAAAAATGGCAAAGAATCAGAAACAATCTACTTGGCTACTAAAATATTAAAATGTTCCTTTTGATCAGGTGTCAAAGGTTGTGCTAAAATTGAATAATTTTGTATTTGTTTATTTGAATTCCAATCTGGATACTGTGTGTCAAGGTGCGTACATAAAGGTTCTGTAGCTGTTTGCTTGCTAAATGGATCTTTACAAATAATACAAATAATCTTTTCAGCATCATTTATTTTATTAATAAAATATTGTCTAACCGGTGATGTTCTTTTTCTTTTTTTTTTTAACTGCAGATACAGAAGTAGCACTTGCACTAGTGAAATTTGTATTGTTATCAGAAATATCTTAAAGGGCTTCTTGAGAATTTGAAGGATCCATTTGAAAAATTATTTTAAAGATAAAAAATACAAAAATTCTCTTTTATTTATTAATTAATACAATGATGTATACAGATTTAGAAGACATTATGGAAATATTACTACATATTAATAGTTTAATTTTGACATAAAAGTATTACTAAAATTTAAAAGTATAATAGTCTATGACATTTCATATTTTAGTAATTGGCATTTTGATCAGCTTATGGCTCTAAATCAGCTCACATTATACAAAGCCGAGCTGTTAGTTAGCTGAGCTGTTAGTTAGCCAAATAGTAAATTAATTGGCTTAGCCAATAAAGCTACGGTTTAGCTGAGCCATTTTGCATCTCTAGTTGCATGTTTTCTTTAGATAATTGATGCATCATAAACATCGATTTGAATTTTATTTTTACTTTATTTGACTTGAAGTATAAATTCAGATGAATTATAGTTTCTCGCAATTTAGTTGAAATATCGATACATAATTTTTCATATAATTTATTTATAAAACATTTGGCTTATATTTGTTTAGCAAGCGTGTGTGCTATCTGTCATTTTTAATTGCTACCGATTGAAAGATACAATTTATTTTTTTAAATACCAGATAGTAAAAAATAAAGCCTTTATATTAAGAATTCTTTTAACTATATGGTGCTAATGAATTTTTCATCATATACGATAAACAAGTCTTGCAATTTAAAAAATTTTACATAAAAAAAAACAATCAATCAAATCGCAATATTAGCTTTATATGTACTTTTTACAGCCAATAGAATTACTGTATTTTTTTATCAAATTCTTTTTTTTTAGTGCTCTCATTCATATGATTAAGGTATGGAATCAAATAGCCTGTATAATTTGTGATTTTGAAGGCTATAAAAATAGTGTTCCACAATTGGAACATAAGTTGAAATTAGTATGTATAATTAAATGATAAACTCACTTTTGACAGACAGGCTTTATTTGCATCTTCTACGTGCCTGCTACCAGTAGCAAGTCTTTCAAAATCAGGTGAATCAAGCTTAGGACCAGTTCATAGGCCCGAACTTATTTAATGTTATTTGCAGCAGTTACATCAGGCAAGTAGAAGATGCAAATAAAGCCTGTTTGTTGAAAATGGGTTTATCATATAATGATAATTGCACTTATTGTTGTCTGATTTAGCTTATGCTTCAATTATAGAACACTATTTTTACAGCTCTCAAAAATTTCAAAATCATATAGGCAACTGACTCTGTACCCTACATATGATTGTTTTATTTTACATTATTTATACAGTTTAAAATACTCAATAAAAAAATATAACTACAAAGAATAAATAAAAAAAATATTAATATTATAGGACTTCACTATTGAAAATAATCAAAGTTCCATTTTGCTATAGAGAAGTAACATGAATTCCGATCAATATATCAAGATCATGGAAGAAGTATTATTACTAATAACCTAATTATATCTATTTTTAATAAACCATTCTTATGCTAGCTTCTCTAAAACATATATAATTTGATTAGTTCAGTAGTGGAATCCAGTGTTGGAAATTTGTTTTGAAATTTATGTTCTCATGAAAACACAATTATATTATTTAATGTTCTCAAAATATTTTTATATTCTCAATAACAAGAATTTCTGTTACTATTTTTTGAAAATTTTCAGATAATATCAGTAATTTATTTAAATTTTTATCCAAAACTTGGCCATCTTTTATGTTCGTTCATTTTCTTTCCACAATTTTTCAGATTTTATTTATTTTCTAATTGTCAACTTCATTCATACTATACTATATAGAGAACATATTTAAGTAACATGTTTTCAAAAAATTTTTATAGAGAAAATGTTCAAAGTAACAAATGTTCTTAAATCCAAAAGTATGTTCTCTTGAGAACATAAGAACATTAGATTTCTTACACTAGTGGAATCCCATAACATTAATAAAAATTTTTATATAGGGGAAATTAATAGAAAGAGACAAATTTTTTCTAAAGTTTTCTTGACTTTAAGCTTAAATATTTCAACAACTATCTAATCAAATTTGATAAAAAAATTTTTATTTTAATTTTATAAAATTCTAAAATTAAAATAAAATAAAAGTTATTAAATTTTGATTGGACAATTGTTGAGATATTTTATTTTAAAAATTAAAAAAATTTTACTAAAAATGATTTGTCTCTTTCTATTGACTCCTCTCCATATACCTTTTTTTTTGTAGGTTTATTGTTTTTAAAAAGTACTTTAAACCGTATAAATAATGTAAAATTAACTAGATTTGAACAGCCAATCATGTGGAAGTCTTTCTATGACCCTCTCCCTACTATTAAGTTATTTTATATTACGTTAAACAAAAAAGTCAATTCTAGGTGGCCTAATTTAAGATCAGTACATAAGTAATAATTTACTAAAGATAGGAATAGATTGAGTTGGCTCAGCTCGGTTTAAAACTGTAATAAGCCAGCTAATTTTGAGCCTATAATTTACTATGTTTATAATGAATAACTTGTTCCAGCAACTTGTTTGATTTTAAATTCTATAGTTAAATAGCTATTTATTTATATTCAAATTAAATTTCTAAAACTAGGATAGGCCAGATATAATTGGGCTTGTTATTCATTATACGAAATAATTGGAAATTATTTTATTACTAATTTTTAAAGTATTAACAAAAAGAATTTCGAAAATTCTATCTATCGCTATAAAATGTCATTTATATTTGGAGTAATCGTACTTCATGTGATTTTTATTGTCCATTATGTATGTATGTATGTACTTGGTACTTTTCTAAATAGAACATAATAGTTACAAATATAGTTTGGTAAAGACAATCAAATCATATTATATATATGTTGTACCTTAGAATAACGTAAGCCTCGGCTGACAGCCGACACACCTCAGATATCGATCATCAGGTGAGGTGCCGATCGATATTGTAGACTGTTATCTGACTTAACTTTATATTATCATTACATACATATCAATTAAGTGATGATATTAATTTGTAAATGATAAATTGAGTTTATGACGATTTCATCATATACTTTGTGGCTTTGTTGGCTATATATTTATTGCCAAATGCTCTTTTTCATACTTTGTTCTCACAAGTTCATTGCCCAGTACATCACTTACATATTTGTTGCTTATATGTTTGTTCATTTCTGTATATCTGTTTGTTGTTGTTGTCTATACATTTGTTGTCGATATGCACATTGTTTATAAATTTGTTGCCAATATCTCATTGTCTATACAAACTTAACTCCTTTGTTCATTTTTTTGTTTTTTTGATATTCCATTTTAAATTCTATTATTCTATTCTACTGTTTTATTTTTCTATTTATCTATTGCTGCTAACACTGAATAATATGTATTGTCAATAAGTGTTCTTGTTATTTTATTGAAATATTTAAATAACATGATATCAAAATGATTAAAACACTAATTGTACTAATGTTAAATTACATAATATCAAAATTCTTTTAAGATTAAATTCACTACAGTGATAATTAAAAGTCTCACTTCCTGGTTTTCACTTCACAGCACTCATGTAATTTTTTTTGAATTAAATATACCATATACAAAACCCAGATCTGTTACATTTCACCCATATTAAAACAATATAATGCTGTAGTGCTCTGATTAAAAGATCCGGATGTATTTGACCTTCACATGTAACCGGCTATTTTACAAGATATTCTTAAAGAGGGGTATTTTAATCAGTGCACTATGGTAGACCCTAGGTATACAGATATTATGAGTGTTTACAAAATGAGGTTCATTATTATTTATTGGGTTGAGTATATATTGTGAGCCCGATTTTTTGTGAATCACGAGGACCCGAATCGAGCGACGATCCCTACCCGATTCGAAGTCACGTGAAAAATAACAGAAATGTTACTTCTGTTCTGTTACTTATGCTATTTCTTTTACTTATAAGATAAATGGGATTTCGGCATTATCTTAAATATAATTAGGATGTAACGGATATTAGATTTATGTTAGAAATTAATGACCAATGTAAATAAAAGTTTTATTATAAATAAAGGACCTTCCGCCCAGGGGGAAAACAACTGCGATACCCCCAAGTAAATACAATTGCTTAAATAAACTTAAAGCATCGGACCCATATTAAAAGTAACCTATAACCAAACCCAAAACTATCGTTAAAACTATCGTAATCAACTATCGTTCGCCCATTTGCAATCCATTAAACCGCATTTTGTTCGTTCGCCGCAAGTCACGTGACCAAGCCGTTAACGCGAGAGAAGGACTCCAACCCGATTCGACGTATCGTAACCCCAGGTTAAGAAAGTAGAAGGAAGATAAGAGAAAGCAAGGGTTAATAGAAGTATAGGTTGAAGGAAAGACTTAGTAGAGAAGAGTAGTACTTACCTACGGATAAACCACTAGCCAAATCTAACACGCCTATTTCGACTTAGCCGCCGTAGGTTACACGAGGATTGGAAAGAATTAGCGACAGACTCGCCGATTTGCCGCGCAACAATATTCTTTCAATTATGCATATACAGTATGTTGTGAGCCCGATTTTTTGGGAATCACGAGGGCCCGAATCGAGCGACGATCCCTACCCGATTCGAAGTCACGTGAAAAGTAACAGAAATGTTACTTCTGTTCTGTTACTTATGCTATTTCTTTTACTTATTAGATAAATGAGATATCGGCCTTTTATCAAATATAATTAGGATGTAACGGATAATACATTTATGTTAGAAATTAATTATCAATGTAAATAAAAGTTTTATTATAAATAAAGGGCCTTCCGCCCAGGGGAAAGTAACTACGATACCCCCACGTCAATACATTTGCTAAAATAAACTTAAGTATCGGATCCATATTGAAAGTAAAACTATAACCTAACCCAAACTGAAAACTATCGTTAAACCCATCGTCATCAACTATCGTTCGCCCATTATTAAATCACTAAACCGCATTTTGATCGTTCGCCGTAAATCACGTGACCAAGCCGTTAACGCAAGAGAAGGACTCCAACCCGATTCGACGTTTCGTAACCCCAGGTTAAAGAAGTAAAGAGAGGACAAGAGAAGGCAAGGGTTAATAGAAGAATAGGTTGAAGGAAAAGACACAAAGAGAAGAGACGAGTACTTGCCTACGGATAAACCACCCAGCCAAATTTAACACGCCTATTTCGACTCAGCCGCCGTAGGTTACACGAGAATTGGAAAGAATTAGCGACAGACTCGCCAATTTGCCGCGCAACAATGTATTCGATTAGCATTTAAGTGATAAATAAGCGAGCAGATACATATGTGGGTGAGTCAATAGAAATCAAGCAAATTGTTTTTATTAAAATTTTTTGAAACTTTAAACAACAATAATTTAATAAAAACTTAATCAAATTTAATAAAAATTTTTTAAAATAAATTCTACAACTTTATAACATTTATTTTAAAAAAGTTTTATAAAAAAAAATTTTGATAAAGTTTTAGTTAAGTTATCTTTGTTTAAAGCTTCAAAAAAATTTACTTAGAAAAATTTGCTTGATTTCTATTGACTCAACCTCATATATTGATTTATATATTGTATAATTTGAATTTTTATATCTATAAAACACTATTAATTAAATTAGCAAAATACTTTAATTTAGCTTTAAGAAACTTTTTTAAATAGTTTATTTAAATGTATATTTAGATTAGTAATCTTTGTAATATTTATATCCAATCAAATTGAAGTATTGCTAAGATTTTAATAGGCCCGTTGGGCCTATTTACAAAGCCCAATCCCGGCCCGGGCCAAAGATTACAGCTGTTTTCATAAATTCTGGAAATCTGGTAAAAATTGACCAACCGAATATTTGCTGATTCGATAAGTTTTGATTCAGCAGTGATAAACTTATCGAATCGACAAATATTCGGTTGGTCAGGTTTTCCAGAATTTATGTAAACAGCTGTAATGGGCTCAAAAATGTAGGCCCAAACCCAGCCCGGCCCGTAAGTTCCCAGGCTTGGCATATAATTAGAGATGGGCAAATCGCGGTTTCCGCGCGGGATTCATTAGTATATTAGTAAAGCTTGGAAAAAATAAGGGTTAGTAATTTGTCTTTTCCGTGAACCCGACTTTCGTTCTAGTTACTTTGACCCGTAAGCATTTTGATATTTTAGTGGTCTGGCCCGCCAGGACGGTAGTCAAAGTGAATTAGTAGAGTGGGTGAGTGTTAAAATTGCAAGTTTTAAATTGCGGCCTGTTCGGACGACAGTCGTAATGAAAGAGTAGCCAGTCAAGACGACTGCTAATAATAGTATTTAAAGAGGAATTGTAATGACCAACCTTGAAGACTGCGTAGGTGCTCGAAAGTGGGAGAGTCATACCCGTATATTGTTCTTCATAGTATAGTTACACGAAATTGAGAGACAAACAAATTTCACACGTGGATATATAGTGCCAGCACTATGAAAAATTTAGCTGTCGTTAAATATCAGGTAAATAGACAAATTAATCTGTATCGGGTTACCAATTTTTGAGTCTAAAAATTCTTACTTTCCTATCATTAGTTATCGCATCTACGGCATCGCTTACGTTTGCATTTTTTGTTTTCAAATTATACATATCCAAAATTGATGAATAAATCATGCGGACCAATCAAACTTAAGGTTTTGTGGACAAATCACATTTCAAAGAGCATAATTCCATACACATTCGTTCCTGGTATTAGAAGGTTACCTAAATATGTTAATGCAGGCCAGATATTATATTAATGCTGACCAGATGATATGGTAATACCGGCTAGATAATATTATTTTTGGACCATATAAAATCCTGCGCATCACGCACGGGATCTCACATGTGCCATCCCTACATATAATCAAAAAAGATACAATTTATACTAAAGGCACAAGACCAGAGCATGAAAACGAAATATTAAAAATCTTTATACATCAGTACCAACCATAGCAAATAATACATAACAAGTTATCAATAATATTCCACCAATTGAAATTTTTCAGCAGACAGCAAATAGAAACAGAAATCTACACAATATAGAACTACAAGACAACCTTATAGGAATATTCGACAGCATTGAATTATATCAAGCCATAAAACAAATAACTCAAGAAACACCAACAGAAAACTATGATACAGAAGAAGAAAAAGAAAGCGAACTATTACTGTTGTCAGAGGTAAAACCGACACCTCATAGAACCTGCAAAATGGACGTCATTGTGGCATACTTATCTAATTAGAGGTGCCTATGACAATTCATCTGAAACATATACGCCTAGCCTCAAAAAAGTCATATGAAAGTACACAAGCCTCCATGCGGGACCCAACCACCCCTCCAATTAAAGTAAGGTCGACCTGGGCCAACCTGTTGCGCTGTGAATGGACGTTGACTTCACCTACCTTACTTGGGTTAGGTGTGAGGCAATGTCAAGGGGGTGCGATTGAAGACAATATGATGGGTTCTGGCCCTGGGGTATTGAAACTAAAACATTTCTCATCGAAGTCATGAAAAATGTTAAAGTAACAAAGGCTGTGTGAAAAGGGGTTAAAGGTTATAACAAATAAGGTTGAGAAGTGTTGGAAATAATGAGAAGAGTTGTGGTCTTGCATAGGCTCTTTTCGTGGTGAATTCATTATAAAAAAGGTGGAATTTCCTCCTTTCAAGAGCTAAGTGAAGTCAATTATCGAAGTCAAGTATCAAAGTATCATCCAAGAGTTCAGAATAGCCTCCTAATAATATAATTGTATTACCTTTACAAAACATTAATAAAGTTAATAAAGCCCTTTTTAACTTGTAAAATAAACTAATACTCTTTTAAAACTGTGATACTCATCTTATAATGCTCCTCTTCAATCACCTTAACCAGTGTCAAATTAAAAAACCACTTCTACTATTCTTGAGGAACATTATTTAACATAACCATTTTTCTAATAATAATCTATCACATTCATCCTATCTCTGAACTTAATATATAATCTTTCACAATTGAGGTGGTGACTGTGAGATCATAATAATCAAAACCTTATTAGCTAACATTTGAGAAACACACAAAAAAAAAAATAGACCTGGAAATTCTATTAACCTAACATCATACTAACCTCCCAGTTCAAGTTGATTACATTTAAGTTTCTTATTGAAAAATTAAAGAAAGAATGAGACCTGTGGATGTAGAAGAGACATATTCAGATTTGTCAAAGTTATTTGTGATCAATTATGAAAAAAAGAAAACTACATTCAAAAAAACATGCAGAATATCTCACCATTAAATTATCATAAAAAATTTTGGTTAAATTATAAAAAAAAACAATGTTAACATAATAATAATAAAAAAAAAGAAAAGAAAAAAACTTAGAAGTTGATACTTTCCTAAACAAAACCCTCATAAAAGCCATTATGTAACAATATATTTCTTCATAATTTTTCCTTTTCATTATTTTTCTAAGTCTTTTCTTAATTACATACTAATTATTATAATTAATTTAGTTATATTTTATTTATCAGTTTATTAAATATAATTAGGATTAATTTAGTAAATGTAATATAGATAGATAAGCATAATTATAACTTATTTATTTCACCTTATAGTACAGTTTTGTTTATTAATGATGTGATTAATATATGTATTAATTATTGATTTTGATTTGTAATAATTTATATTTATTTTCTATATTTATTTTTATTTATTATTAATTATATACCAGAATTTTACAGATAAATTAGTAAGTCTTATAAGCAAACTAAGCTTCTATTTTTAATATACTTTTATTCTTAAATTTATGTACTTTTAAAAATTATTTAAATCTGACAAGATTTCTTTAATAAAATTTTAAGTATTTTTATTATTAAAATTATATACAAAGTATTTCGAATAACAAAACCTTTATATATTAACAAAAAAAAATATATATAATACATATATAAAGAAAAAAAATTCTAATCAGTTAATAATACTTAACAAACAAATAAAAGATCTACAACAATAATGATTATAATTACTTTATTATTAGAGTGTCTTATTATAGATTCTATATCAACTTTAATGTAAATAAAGATAAAAATCTAATTATTAATCACTTTTTTACTTTAATAAGAAAAATCAAGAAAAAAAAAATATATATATAGCAGAATTTTTTTTAAAAACCTACTGAAACCATGAACTCTCAGCAACCTAATGATCTTAGGACTTCTTTTAACATTTTTGAAAATAATTTATTGACCTTTGACAACAACTATCTTTTTAGGAGTTATTATACATCTGCAAACAACTCTCTGCCAAGTAGAAACAATCAAACCAATAATAAAAGACAAACACAAGACTCAGTTTTTTAAAACTGTAATACTCATCTTATAATACTCCTTTTTGATCACCTTAACTAGTACCAAATCAAAAATCCATTTTTAGTATTCTTAAGGAACATTATATGACATAATCATTTTTCTAGTAATAATCTATTACATTTAACCTATTTTTGAACTCAACATATAACCTGTTACATTGTATATACAGAAGAACAAATAACCAAAATATACAAATAATTAAAATATTCAGATTGTAAAACATTTGAATTACAACAAATAAAAAATAATGCAAGAGCGAATTATATAATATGTAAAAAAAGACAAGTATACTTAGAAGTAATGATAAAATGAATATTAAAAGCACAAAAAAGAAGATATTTAATAATATTTTTACTAGCAGAATAAAATTATAGCAGATTGGACATGCATATCAGTTTATTATAGATGAGCAGATCAATATAGTATAGGCCAGATTTTGAATCTATACTGATCCAATATTGTATATATTAGAGTTAGGAATTAGTATAGTATATAGTAATATAAATTGAATTAGTGCAGTAGATACAGTATATATAGATTTAAATTGTGCACATTTTGATGTTCTTTATATATATAAAATGCTATAAATTTTTTTATATACATTTTTGTTAGTTTGTGCCAAAAAAATTATTTGAATTTATAATACTGATAATATAGCTTTTACTTTCTTTTAATTTTTTACCTATACTATACTAATCTATTATAATTCAGCTAAAATTAAAATTTATACTATACTGATTTGTAAAATATTTTGTGAAACAATTAAAAAATTTTATTATACTAATTTTCAATAATATTATAATCACAAAACTAGTAATGCCAACTTAATTAGTTTAATAAACAAAATAATTTTTAACTTAAAAATATTTTATTTATGATAATTACTAAAATTACAAGATATTATAATTAAATTTTGTATTATAAATTCTAAAATAAGAGTGTGGCAACTTAGTGAAGTAGATAAGTTGTTATACTTTTAAGTGGTAGGTTGTGAGTTCAAAACCTACTAACAATAAAATTTGAATAATCACCTATATAATATATAGATAGTATTACAGTGACAGCATTCTGTTAATCAGTTAGAATAGAATATTTGTAACTATGGTCACACCAGCATGACTGGCAGATCTGGGGCATCTGTGTAATCTTGGTTATACAAAAGAATGCAAACTGATACCAAGTAGTACAAACCTAAAATAAGTTCTTGTGTCATGTAAATCTGTAGAACTGAAAAGCTAGAACTTATTTGGAAATTCTAAACAAAAAGATAATATAGATCTTTGATAGTACTATTATAAAGGCTAGACCTAGAAAATAAATACCAATATGAAGGAATCAGGTGGGCAAGAATCTTGGGTGAGAGGTACCACCAACCAGGCTGCCAGATTTTGAACTGGAGAAAAAGAATATTGGGCCAGTCTTAATATACTAAGAACAGGTTACAGTTCTTCTGAGCTACCTGGATTGGGAGTCTGAGTTCAAAGCAAGAGTATACTAAAAGTACTTGAAATATGCTGTGAAGTCAGTGCTGAAATCTGGATAAACTCTGTAAGGGTAGTTCTTATTAGTGTTCTAAAAATAGATAGATAGTTAATAATAGAGAGCCTTCTGTATCTTACTAACAGATAACATATTCTGAAATATGTAATGGTCTAAGAACTAGTACAAAAAGAGTAAACACCATACTGCTCAGACAGTATACCAGTTAGATATATACAAGAGTAAGTTGGAATTATATTATAACAGAGTAGATGATCAGAGAGTTTAAATAAATAATTTTCTAGTAGTTTATAGATATGGCATCTAGTGTAAAACCTTAGAGTAGACTACTTAAATAGGCAACCAAAAGTTGCATGTATAACTAGTTGTACTCTTATCTCTATAAAAATAGTTGTAATAGCTAATCCAATAAAAGTTAATAAAGTATTCACCACAAGTATGATCTATAATAAAAAAAAAAACAAATTCTAAAATATATAATTTAGAATAATGCTAGAATATATAACATAAGATGTCATAATAAAAAAGTTTAATTAACTATGTTATAAGTTCAATTAGTTTTGTTATTGTGATAATAAATTCTTGAATTTAAACATAATAATAAAATATTTAAATTTAACTATAACCTAGTTTTTTAATATAATTAAAGAATTGAATTTATATTCAAATGTATTATCACAAGTTGATATATATTCTGAAGAAGATATGCTAATAAATACAGAACAAGATTAACTTAGTAATCATAAACATAAAATTATTGGTCAAGTAAGAGAACAAATTTGAAGTATTATATAACCAATAAAGATATTAGTTCTTGTAGTATTCTTGTTATCATTATTCAAAGTCTTAAAGTTGTAAATATTTTAGTAAAATAAAAGTTCATCTTGTTAATATTTGTTCTAGTATTCCTAAGAATATTAAAGAATATTGACATAAATTATTTTTTAAGAAAATTATTAATTACAAAAAAACAAAATATTCTAAATTAGATTAATTAAATATAAATAATAAGTTAGATGAAATATTGCTGATATATTAACAAAATAAGATTAACAAAGACATTTTAAAAACATAGATTATAGCAAAAATCTTATTTGAAATTATTAATAATCTATTTATTATTAATTTATTTAAATATTTAAATATATTATATATATTATCAAGTTGGTTTTTTTTTTAAAATATTAAGATGAGTATTTGCAATCCAGAATTTTATTGATAATATATTTGGCTAATGGTTGCATTATAACTACAGAAGGCAATTATAAAAAGAGTGTACAACTAGTCACTCATACAACTTCAGTTATTGTCTAATTTAAGTAGTCTACTTGAAGGTTCTATACTAGCTGCCATACCTGGAACCTGCTTGTAGATTCTCTATTTAATCACTCTAGTTTCTATATCCACCTATCTACCTCTGCCTACTAATGATCTTAGCTAATGCTGATGAAAATATGCTATGGCTACTAAGTCTTTAAAGCAGTTCTTTGGAACCTTTGAACTTGTACTAAACCTTTCATAATCTTCTGTATTTTATTCTTACAGTTAATCTGATATTACTATAGCTAAGACTAACACTAGCAGTTAGGGCATACTATTAAACCACTATGTTCTTGTAAAGTTTACTCCAACCCCAGTACTGACTTCACAACATATCCTTACTACTTTGGTATTCAATTCAAGTTCTATTAAGCTGTTATTTCAGATAGCCCAGAAAGGTAGATTATAACCATATATCTCTAATTTACATATTTATTGGTATATACCTTTTTCCTTTAAAATTTAAAATTCTGACAGCCTGGTTGGTTCATCTGATTCTTTCTTAAAGATCAGCACATTTGTCCAATTTTACAAGTTCTAGTTCTGTTTAATAAGTCTAGTCTTTACAGTAGCACTGTTAAAAGTTCAAATTACCTATCTATTTAGGTCTTTCAAGTAGACTTTTATTTTCTTTTATTTGGTTTATATAATTTATATGGCCATGAGGACTTATTATAGGTTTGCACTATCTGGTACTGATTTGCATTTCTTTATATAACTACAGACCTTGTTTCAAAGGACAATGTCACATAACTATTACACAAATGCTATGTGACCTGCCAGTCATGCTAGTATGATACAGATAACAGGTATCTTATTCCAACTAATTGTAAGAGACAGTTAACTATAACACAAAGAGAATTTTCAAATTTTCTGTTAACATTAAAATTTGAACTTTGGACTTGCCATTTAAGAGTTGACAATCTGACCACTTCACTAGATTACTACATCTTATATTATCAACTCATATAACACTTTTAAGTAGATTATTGAAACAAAAAATTGTAAAAATTAATCTTAAAGTTAATTTTGAATTAGAAAAATGTGACTATTTAACTTTTGTACTTGATGGATGGTCTTTACCAAATGGAAATTTATTTTATAATTTTATAATTTCAACTACAGATTATTATAAATATCTTATTGAACTTAAAAACTATTTTAAAAATTCTCAAATTAGAGTATTTATAATAAAACTATTATTAAACTATTAGAACAAATAAATTTGTAGAAATAGTAATAGATAATAGTAGCAATATTAGAGTTGTTTATAAAATTATTAATAATAAGTATTTACATATTTTAAATATTCATTGTACTTTCCATGGTTGCCTCCTGTGGTTGTAATGCAACCATTAGCTGAATGTACTATCAATAAAATCCTGGGTTGCAAGTACTCACCTTAATATTTAAAAAAAAAAAATATTCATTGTACTGTTTATTTACTAAATCTAATTGTGAAAAATTTAGTAAAAATTTCATATATAGATAAGTTTATTTCTTAAAACAATAATATAATAAAATTTTTTAATATAAATTATTGTGCAAATGTATTATTAAAAAAATTTTGATAAAAATACAAATTAAAGATGATAACTTAAAATTATATACTAAAACCCATTGGTGTTCTTTCTTGAATATATCAAATTTAATATTATAAACATATCTCATATTTGATTAGATAATTATTTTAAATTATATATATTAGTATAATAATATATATTAATATATAGTATTATTATTAATCTATTTATTAAATTAATTTATTATATAATATAGATTAAACATAAATATTCAAATATATTAATTAATAAAAATATATTTAATTATATTGGCAATAAAGATTTTTTTTAGATATATAAAATGGTATTAGAAATCTTCAATCTTATTAAAGAGACTATTAATATTATAGAATCAAAAATAACAATAATATTAGATTCTTTTATTAGATTTATTAGATTAGTAGTTACAATTAATTAAATATCTAATAATAATTTAAAAATAGATATTATTAAAATATTTAATTGTTAGTATAAAGCATATGATTATGATGTTTATTTACTTGAATATTTTTTACATTTGACTATTATGAATTAGAATTAAAAAAAAAGAATATTCTGAAAAATATATAAAATTACAACTAATTACTAAAAAGAATTATGATATAATAAATCATCTTATTCAAATTTGTTAACTAATCTTAGAAAATATAAATAAAAGAAAATTTATTTAAGGGTTGGGGTTCTATAACCTAGTGGCTAGACACCCTTTTATCTATAGACAAGATCAATGGTTTAATTCTAACTGGAGACAAAAACTCTATAATCTATAAAAGTATATAAATGTACATAAAACTTTGTAACTAAGTCTATATAAATAGAAGATCAATATATAAGAAAGTTTTTAAAAAGAAGTTTTTCAATATAAAAAGATGGTATTCAATATGAGAAAAGTAATGAATATACCAGAAATAGAGAAAAAGCATACTAGTAGATGAAATGGCAAATATAGAAAAAAGCTATAAAAAAGAAATAAACTTATTAAAATTTGAATACCTTTAATACTAATATCTGTTTAGTGGATATGAGATACACTAAAATTGGTAAAATCTAAAAGATAATCTTGATACTATACTTAGTAAATTTGTGTCAAGATTAAATTTGAAAAATTATAAATACTTAGTAATATCCAATGAGATAATATTTTGATATAAATAATAATTAGATAACCCTAATCTAATATATAATATAAACATTGTATATATATGTAAATAGTATTAAAAACAGAAAGTTTAAATAGAAGATCCAGAGACAAGTCTCAGATATAACATTTAGTAGGTAACCTATAAGTAGAACTCTTAATTATATAATAACTAAAGTTATATATGTAACTAGTTATACTTTCATTAATAGACTATTGTATATAAAAATATAATTATATGTTACTAAATAAAGACATACAGACAAGATTACTGCTTTAAACTGGAAAAAAAGAAAGGAGGATCCTTTTGATATGAAATACAAAAATGAAAATAAAACACCTCTTAGTTGGTGACTTACATTTGACAATAATGAATATGATGAATATCCTATCATTGACCTTGTAACTAAAATATTTTCAATTATGTCTTCTCAGGCAGGATATGAAAGGAAGTTTTCTATTTTGAGATGGTTTTATAAAGATCACTAATATAAGCTTGATGTTCATCACATTGAGTCCATGACAAAATTTGATCTTACTATTTAATGAACATTAAAAAAGAATTAACTTATTATAAAAATGATTTAACCCAACAAGAACTGAGAGATTCAGTAAACGACACAATAATTCCAAGCATTGATGAGTTGTTATCTGATTATAAATATTTACCATTAGGGACATTAGAGGATCAAGTTAACGAATCAACTAATAATACACTCATGATTTCAGAAACAATAGATATTACTAATCTGACATTTTCCTCTGATGGTCAATTGCAAGTTAATATGCCAACAAATAGTAATCTTGTCAAAAACCAGAATTGGCTTGGAAATATGAATCACAACACAGAAGATTTAGTAAATCGGATGTTTGAAATGAATGATGAGTAGGATTTATAGTTAGATTTATATAAATAATATAATTTAAGCACCAAAAAAAATAAAACTGATTATTATAATTGTATGTAGCGATAGTAATTTATATATTTATTATAATAAATAGTACATCGGTATATTTAAATATATCATTTATAATATATAAATATTTATCATTAAATAGTTTATACGTTAGCCGTTTAATATAATTTATACTGTATTTTAACCTTTATAATGCAAAAATTATTTATCGTTTTTTGGATAATTTTAAATGTTTAAATTGCTAAAACAAAAATTATTTTAGTTTTAGCTTTTTAAATCACCAAATTAATTTAATTAAGTTGGCATCGCTACGCAGAACAGTATAGTATAGTATGCAGATCTGCATACCTATACTGATCTGCGAAACTACCGTACTGAATGCAAAAAGAATACTTGACTGATAGGTAAATTAAGAATTTAAAATATAATAAATTAACGTCGATAAAGATTCTTTTATATCTGTTAAATATATTTCTTATAATCTTTTACACGTAACAGTAATATATGTACATAAACTCAAATTTTAAAAAGAATGTTTTTGTTTTTTTGAAATAACCAATCAGATCCAGTAGTTTCAGTTTCAAACAAATTTAACATCAGCCTTTTAACCATTTTTTAAAAGTATAAAAAATTGGTTAAACTAGATTTTACCATCCCTAGTTACACCTTATTAAATTATTGGTTGATTACATTCACGCGTAAATTTTACGTTACACCTGATAATGATAAAACAATCTTTCTGTCATCATACGTGTGTGGACGAATAATATTGAGCAGACTCTTACTAACGACTCGTACTATGAAAATTAATGAAAACTAGTCATCCTCTTCGAATTTGATCGTCAAAATCCATCTCATCGTCTTAAAATCCATATGGGAACACCCACAGCAAAAGGGGATGGTACTATATATTATATAGTTCCATCCCCCTTTTGCTGTGGGTGTCCTCATATACTAAAAAAAGTTGTTGCAGTGCAATTTCGTGGCCGAATTATCGAAACTCATGTTACTTCACAAAGTTACCTTAATTTCAATATCGGAGACAGAGTAGAATCATTTCTTTCATACCAAAACAAAGGACTGTACGGTGTAATTGGACACCAAAATTGGCTATTGAAGCTGGAAACGTTAGAATCCAACTAACTTCAAGAAGCAAACTGCTTATTTTTTTCATAATTCTGTAAAGCTTTATTTTGGTTGGTCAAGTGAATAAACAAACATTTTTCAAGGCAACTGTGCAACATTATAAATATTGATAAAAAAATACGGAAACCTGATTCCATCATTCACGCATCTAGTAATAAGGATATAGCTGAATCGTACGATATAATCACCAGGTATTTCTCAACGGCTTATGTGCGTGATAGTGAATAGATGTTGATAAGACCAAAAAGGCTATTTTGCAATTACTTCGTTACCATTTTTTTCTATACCTCGTTATTATTTGTTATCTATACCTCGTTATCATTTGTTATCCATACCTCGTTATCACTTGTTACCTATATCAATATTGTTTTATTGATACATTTCTACAGTACGACGTAACCAAGTGACGTAAATCTTTCTGCATTCGTATTTTAGACTTATTATCAAAATCAAGATTAATTTTAATCTCCCTAGGCGCACATAAACCTTTACTCATTGTTACACTTTCGTGAAACATTGTTAATAGAACATGGATTTAAGTTGAATACATAATAAAAAAAAAGGTCACCGAATGCTTAAATAAGTGTTTTGTCACTAAATTAATATCATTTCTATACAGTATATAAATAAGGAGAATGGCATTATAATAATGAATGACATATAATTATAATAATGAATGGCATTATAATAATGAATGACATTATAATCACATAATCAATTTAAAGTTATGATTGTTATAATGAAGTTGATTTATTGCTTGTGGTATCCATTAAACATTTTGTAGGTCCTCTCGACACCAACTTTTGAAATTGGTCCAATGTTGCATTCATAATATGCATCGTCAACATTTAGATAATCAGGTGATGTAATTTTTTATCAACGTTTGTGAATTCTAAAGGACATCGATGAAGATATTTGAAGATGGCTAAACCTAATTAAATGTATTTAAAAATAAAGATGTAATGAAACCTACGGGAATTTGGATTTCAATCATATTTATGCCACCCAGTATTTACTTTACGATCCTTTTGAAGAGACGTCCACTGCATGGAATTAGCTCATTTACAATAAACATCTACTGTTAGTGTTATTCGTATAGTACGTAGCTGCATATAGTTTATTAATATTATAGGCGTTAATGGTCTGTTGAGTTACTAACAATTTAGTAGAGAAAAGCAACTAATCGAAGGTTGTTTAAACAACATTGTGTTGAGAAAAACATTTTGATTGGAAACACTCAATGCTACGCATCATAAAACTTTACGTCATACTGTAAAACGTTACCCAGGTTTGTTGATTTAATCTGCAAAAACGTTACTCAGGTTGTCGATTTCAATCTGCAAACGTTACCCAGGTTGTCGATTCAATCTACAAATAACAAAGTTACATAATTTGAAACCAATACCGATAAATAAATTTGCCAATAACTTTTTTTTTTTTATAATTGATCTCTGCTTATTGTCTGAAAATTTCTATGTTTTAATAGGTTAATGTTTTGTCATTACTATTGTATTATATTAAGTTGCCAATCACAATGAGGTAAAAGTTAGTTAAGTATTCAGTGGACTTATTTAAGGGTAACCAAATTTTACAATATTTTTTGATTCTATTGGTTCTCATGATCCTTACGGGTAACGCTATAGAAAATTTATTGATATAGTATGTAAATTCCCGAATAGTAAGTTCATTTATCATCCAAATTATATTTCATTTCCACAAATATTCTTTCATGGTCTCATACGTTTCTTTTGAAAAAAAATGAATCCTCACAAGCACAGAAAAATAGATTCTTCCACCTTTCAACCCGCCATGCACTCTTTATCTGTTGATGAGGTAATGAATTTCCCACGCGATGCTCTTTAATATTCTAATTCCAAGGCAGTTAATACTAATTGTTGGATTTTTCTGTACGATATTAAAAGATTTTATTAGAGCCTTATAATTATCTTTTGTCTAATCCTGGAAAAGACATTAGAGGAAAGTTGATCGATGCTTTCGATCATTGGCTTAAAGTCCCCAAAGACAAATTGTCCACTATTACCACTGTTGTTGAAATGTTGCACACTGCCAGTTTATTGTATGTAGCTACATTCAATAATCGTTATAATTTTGAATTTGTTTAACTTTCTTTTTCAAATATAGAATTGATGACGTAGAAGACGATTCAGTTTTACGTCGTGGTATTCCTGGTGAGTGCTTTCCATTACAATGATATGATTGCTGTAGAGTGAAAACCTAGAAGTGAATCTTTAAGTTTATCACTGTAGCGGACTTAGTCTTATAATGTATAATAAAGACAAGTCCCCTACAGTGATAAACTTAAAGATTCACTTCCAGGTTTTCACTCTACAGCACTCATATATTGTTAAATTTCATTCATTAATCTTTTCTTTATTAAAGTTGCTCATTCTATATACGGTGTACCTGCAACTATAAACTGCGCGAATTATGTTTATTTCCTTGCTCTAAATGAACTTACAAAATTTGATAATTCGGAAATGCTCAAGATTTACACGTGTAAATATATTAATATATTATTATTAAACCCCATATTTTGCCTTAAAGTTTATTTAACTTTTTTATTCTTTTTTAGCTGAACTAATAAACTTGCATCGAGGTCAAGGAATGGAATTACATTGGAGGGATACATTGACATGCCCTTCAGAAGCTGAATTCATTGGAATGGTTTCAAATAGTATGAATTAATTTTATTTAATTTTAATCGAAACATCATTTATATTATAAATACATCATGTTATAAAATATATCTTCTTAACTTTATTCATTCAGAAACTGGTGGTTTATTAAGATTGGCAGTTAGACTTATGCAACAATCTAGCGAGTCAAAGATGTATATATATATATTTTTGTCTCTTAATCATTTAATACTATTTCACTGAAGCATTATTTTATAAATCTTTTTAAACAGCGATTACGTGCCACTAGTTGATGATATTGGCATACATTTTCAGATTCGCGATGATTATATGAATTTGCAATCGAAAAAGGTATCTTATATATGTAAAATTTTTATTTATCTTAATCAATTTAATTTAAACGCTTTATATTCTATACAGTATGCTGATAACAAAGGTTTTTGTGAAGACTTAACTGAAGGAAAATTCTCTTTCCCTATTATACATTCAATTCATAGTGATCCTAACGATAGAAGATTACTCAGTATCCTTATTCTGACATATTATCTTTCCGTTTTTTCTTTGATCTTCTAAGAATTTACTTGTCTTTAACAACATGGGTCATAATATTTTAGATATTTTGAAACAGCATACAACTTCTATTGAGTTAAAACAATACGCCGTCAATATAATGAATGATACCGGATCTTTTGAATATACTCGTAATTATTTGACAAAAACTGAAACTTTGGTTCGCGAAAAAATTGAAAACCTTGGTGGAAATCCTTTGTTGGAGGAAATTATACATCTTTTAAGTATTAAAGAATAAATTATTAATTCTTTACAATCCTCGTATAAAAGAAATTAATTTCTATCATGTTGCTTATTATGCAGCAAAAAACCCTTTATTTTTTGTTTAGAATATAGGAATACTTAAAAAATTAACTGGGTGCTACTTTACTATAGTATATAATTAAACTATGTAATTTTAAACAATATCTAGCCTTCTAGTTTATAAAAAAATATAAACATTGATCATAAATATAATGTCTCTTAAATTTATTTTTTTGCTATCTTTGTGACGCAAATATTTAACCAATAAAACTTAACAAATGTGATCAAAAATTCTAGAACGAACTATATTGTAACTTCGAGCATGTAATTTTATGTTGCTTATAATTAATTCTGAAAGCATCTGATTCCATTATGTTTATGACAATTTTTAACTCAAATTGTGTTCATGTTAAAATGCTGTCTGTTAATTTATGACCCAATTGACTCAGTACACTGAATCACAAGATCTTTAATCTTAAATTTTATAATCAATATGTCCAAAATGTACTAGGGTTTGGAACCGTGAAAATTTGTGCTGGTGGTTAATCGTGTCGCTTATTGCGCTTTGCAAAATTCTGTACCCCTTGATTACTAATATTTATAAATTGATCGTGATTGCAATTGCTAAAGCTGGCCAATTTATCATAAATCTGATAATAAATTGGCCAGTTTTAGCAATTGCAATCACGATCATTTTATAAATATTAGTAATCAAAGGGTGCAAAACGCAATAATTATAAGCAACACGATTAATAATCATTTAAGTGACCTCTGCAGATAACGATGTCAGGTGTGAATCGAATATTCTAAAGATGGATGTAACCGATTAAAATCATAAAACAACAAACTAAGAAATCTCTCGATTATTAGCATTAGGTGATTTCTGATTTCTTAAATTATTCTAGCTAGAGTTCCAATCTGCCGTCCATTTATCCGTATCTGAATATCCATTTACTATTGATATCTGGATAATCCGGCAAATATTATCCGGATATCAATAGTAAAACGGATATCCAATAGAGCCATGTCGATATGATAATTTAAGAGTTTTGTGCAAGGTTTTGTCGATCACGATCGATAAGAAAATTTCGCAAATAATTTTATCATAAACTTTGATTTAAATCCTGACCTACCCATCCCCACTTTAATCTCAAAACAGCCTAATGCGGGCAATACCCATGCCGGGCATATGGGCATCATAAGTGGCACAAAGTGCCAGAAACTATTATAGGCAAGACATTCAGGTGAGAAACTCCTAAATATAGGGTCCAGTCATATGTTTTTGATTTTTTTTCTCGCTTCGGGCTGATCCGTGTCGCCAAAATATGGGAAGATCGTTACACGATTTAACACAGGTGACAAAAATTTTTATACGTTTTACAATACTTTTTTAAGGGCCTTGGGTAATCCATCTTTTCTATGAAATGTGACTAAACTTTCTAAGCAAATTTGACGCTTTTGATTATATTTTAACAAAATTTAAAATATTAAGGTGAGGACATGCTTCTATCTTTATTAACACAATTAAATTTTTTACAAATAAAATATATAAAAAAAGTTTATATTTGAATTTTATATTTATTAGATATTAAGATTAGAAGCTTAAACAAGTTATTTGTAAATTAAATCTATATTTTAACAAAATTGGTTAATTCAAGTTGATTTAGTTAATATTATGTTTTCATTTATTTAACAATATGTTTAAAATTAAGAAATATATAGAATATAAAATTATTAAATCTTGTTAATTTTGTTTATTAAAAAAAAATAAATAAAAAAAGTCAAAGTTAGTAGTTTAATCAAGAATATTTGAATAAAATTAAAAAAATTTATGTTATAAATGTTATATAAATTGTATAAAATCTAAATTAAAAAAGTTAAACAAATAAAATTTTAGTTAAAAAAATTAAAATTATAAATATGATTAAAATTAATATAAATATAGTTAAAATTAATATAGATGTAATTAAAGTTGACATAAATATAATTAAAATTAATATAGTAGAAAATATATTTTTTTTACTTAGGTAGTTGTGCTAATAACCTTTATTAAAAATATATTAATTTTGATATTTTCATATTATATAATAATTATAAGCTTAATTTCTAAATTCAGTTTTTTTAATTTCTTTCAAAAGTGTCTAAAAATGATTTATCACATTAGGCAGCAACAAACTACTATCTAAAAAGTTATTTCTAACTGCTACCTTATGATAAAATATTACTAATTTAATAATATTTTTTCATAAAAAAGTAAAAAAAAACAAAAAATTTTAATCTAAACTAAACTAAAAAAGTTACAAAAAAAAAAATAAAAATATTAAAAAGTATATTTCTTTATAATTATTTCAGTAAGATTACTAATACTTTAAGCTATATTGAAAATTTAATTATATTTTAATTTATGCCAAAAATATAAAAATTAATTTAAAAATTACTATATAGTTTTAATTTAATATAATCTTTTAATTAAAGGTATGGCAACTTAGTGAAGTAAATAAGTTGTTATCTCTTTAAATAGGTTAGATGTTCAAATCTTATTAATAATAAAAATTTTGATAATTATTTATATAATATTTATATTATAGTAACTGTTTCTAACAATTAGATTAAAATATCTGTAATGGCAGTCATATCAGAATGACTGATAGGTCAAGAAGCATCTGTATAACAAATTATACAGAGAAATGTAAATTAGCATCAAGTAGTACAAACACTAGATAAGTTCTTATAGCCATGTAAATCTATTAAAATTGTGAAACAAGAAGTTCATTTAAAAAAAACTTGAGTAAAAAATAGTATAAGTTTTTGATAATACTATTGTAAAACTAGACCTAAGAAATGAATACCAATATAAAGAAATCAGGCAAACAAGAACCTTAGATAAGAAATACCACCAACCAGGCTGCCAAAAGTCTTGAACTAAAGAAAAAGAATATTAGAAGATAAAACTCTAATATATCAAAGACAGGTCACATTTTTTTCAGACTATTTGGATTAAAAGTCTAGTGCCAAAAACAAAAGTATACTATAAATACTAGAGTTTAAATGAACTTTGCAAAAACAAGGCTTATTAATAGTAACTAAATATGGGTAGTTAGTTAGCAGAAAGACTTTTTAAAGTTTTATAGTCAGATAATATACTCTAAAATGTGTAATGGATTAACAAATATACAGATAAGAAGGTTAGAGTTAGGTTAGATAGCATTTAAATATATAAAAACTTATATGATTATTTATCAGATATAGTATAGAAATTAGAGTGTTTAATTGAATAATCTTCTAATAGATTACAAGTATAACAGCTAGTGTAGAACTTGCAGATAAACTACTTAAATAGATAGTCAAAAGCTGTATATATGGCTAGTTGCACATTCATCTTGTACAAGTTATATAATCATAATTAAATTACAATAAAGGCAGTAACTACTAATAATTAATAGTTTTAGTAAAAACAATATATATATATATAAATTTAATATAAATATAATTAAAATTAATATAGATATAGTTAAAATTAATATAGTTAATATACAACATTTTAAATTATCATTTAAATCAAACTAGTACCAAAACAATTTAAAAAGTCAAGTTTCTAAATAAACAATACTTTTGATTTTATATTAATATATAAAGCAGATTGTTGCTAACAAATTTAAAGTATATAAAAAAACTAAAGTGCAAGTGATTTTTTTGATAGTTTGAGATCAAGTTTTTTTTTTAATAAACTCTTTAACATGTTTAGAATCCAAACTAGAATATTTTAAAAACAATAAAAAAACTCTAATTAAAGGTTATAAAAAACTTAAAAACAAAACAAACAATTAAAAATACCTTTTAGTTTAGTTTTTTATATATTATATTTGCTAGTCTTTTTCTTTTTATCAGTATTTTTTTTTATTCAAAAGTGTAAATTTTGGTTCTTTCTTTATAAAAGATTGGCATTGTTCATTACCTTCTTTTTTAGATAATTATATATTATAATATAATGTAATAGAAATACAATAGTTATATATATAGTCTAACATATAGTATAATAAAAAATGAAGAATTTAAATTAAAGAATTATAATAAATTAGATATATATAGTAATTTTCAAATCATGTATATAAAATTTTACCTTTCTAGTACAGATTAAAGTGTAATAAAATTTTTAGTATAGGTTAAATTTTTAGTAATCTTACTAAAATAATTATGAAACGATGTGCTTTTTAATACTTTTGTTTTTTGTTTTTCTTACTATAACTCTTTTAGTTTAGTTTAGTTTAGTTTAGTTTTTTTGTTACTTTTACTTCTCTATAAGAAAGTGTTATCAAATTAGTAATACTCTATTGTAGAACAGCAGTTAAAAATAGCCTTTCAGATAGTAATTTATTATTACTTAGTGTAGTAAAAGAACTAACAAAAATCAAATAATTTTCTAAGAAATGAGAAAATAAAAAAAATTAAAATTAAATATAAAAAACCTGATCAGATATATATTAAAAAAAAAAAATGTATTCTTCTAATAAAAAAATCAGATAATAAATAACATTATTTTAACTTACTTTTGAATATTCATAAAAAGTAGCTATAAAAGCTAAGACTTGGAAATTAAGCATGTATTATTAGCAGTATTATTAATATTTACCTAATAAAGACTACTAGCATAGCTATCTAAATAATATATATATATATAGTTAATATAGTTAAAAATATTTTAGTTAAAAATAATATTAATATAATAAGATAAATGTAAAAAATATAATTTGAAAAAAATAAAAATTAAAATTAACAAAAATGTAAAATTAAAAAATATAAAAATTATAATAAAAAATATTAAGTTTATAAATAAAAAAATAAGTATATTAAAATTATTAAGCCTATAATATAAATTTTTATAAAAAAAATAATTAAAAAGAAAGCTTGAAAATAATATTTAACACAACTTTTTTTGTTAATCCCTAAAACACAAAAACTTGTAAAAGCAAAATCAAAATTTATAAAAAAAACTAG